CGCGATCCCCCCGACGGGCGCGCCGGCCGCTCCGAGCCGGCTCCCTTGGAAAGACGCCACACGTGGCGGCCGCAAGTTTATTCGCTTGAAAACGCCCCCGAGGCGCTGGGAGAGGAAACTGCAAGAGAGGTACACGCCCTCGGCCGCCTCTCCGTCGAGCCAAAGCCCCAGGACATTCACCCGACCACCCCGACGCGGGTGGCGAGGGCCGGACCGAGCGCCAGGTCTAAGAGACACTTTTCCCCCAGTCCACCGACGCCTTCTGAGCCCCTGCTTTTGCCGGTCCGCACCGTTCCGGCATTCTCTTGCTCAGTAACAATTTCGCAGAATCCCATCACGTCACGATCCAAACCCCCTCCAATTGGCCAGTGGGGAGGGTGATTCAACTCTGTTTACTTTCTCCCCCTGCCAGTCAGAAAGGCCTTTCGGTGGAGAGGTGCGTCTAGAACTGAGGCGTGCGGCCAATCCGACTGTTCCGTTTCGCTGCCTCGTGCTACCCCTACAGCCTCGAACGCTGACATTTAAAAGGGTAACAGCCGGGAGGCTGGAAGGGAGTCGCGGCTCATCCTCGGGAGCGCCTCTCGGTCCGGTAGCCGCTCCGGGCCTCCTGGCTCGCGTTCCCGCCCGCGGAGCCGTGGGGACACACCTTCCCCAGTCACTTGCGTTCGTTCTCGTGACAAAAGAAAACTTCAGGTTCGGTTTTCCAGCTTGCAAACAGTTAAGTGACTTCCTGCAAACGCTAGAGTCCCAGCAACCAGCCTTCCAATCAAAAGTAAGTTGGTTGATGTCACTGACATTGGCCCAGCCAATCAGAAGGGCGTTCCGAAAGCAAGCGCTCCACATTTGTAAACGGCAAGAGCTGTAGTGAAACTGGACACATCCTTGTGTTCTGTGTGGCTGGTAGTAAAAGTGACATATGTATGGAAGGGCAGGGGTGATGAGTAAATAAAATGCGAGTCAATACCTTAAGAAAAAAACAAACCTAAACTGAATATGTCAGGCCAAGTTGCCCAAGAATAAACACAAATGAGAAAAAGCATCATTTCATTTTTTTTCAGTTTGGGGATGCAGCATACTTCGGGGCAAATTTTTAATAATCCTTCTATCTAGTGCATTGACTATGACTAATTCATCAGAAAAATGTAGAGCTGATAAAAGTTCCTATTAAACCAGACTTTTTTAATGGCTCACTATTCCTACAGGGAAACACCCCATCTCTGCTTCTGTGATAACTTTTCATTCCTCTCCTTCCCTAGTGCAATTTATTCTAGGCAAGTTATTTTAGTTCTGTTTTGAAGCTACTGTAACCCACCTTCAATTAAATGGAGACAAAAATTTGTATGCTTTTTTATTTTATTTTTTTACACTTTAACAAACATAATTATTTATTTATTTTTATTTTTTTTTTAAAGATTTTATTTA